GGTGGGGTAGAAAGGGGGAACTGATCACAAGGATCTACATATAACCCCTTCCTTGGGGGATGGACAGCAGAAAAGTAGATGAAAGGAGATATCCGGCAGTGTAAGACATGACAAAATAATAATTTATAAATTAACATGGGTTTGTGAGGAAGGGGGGGCAGGGAGGGAGGGGAAAATGAGCTGATACCAAGGGTTCAAGTAGAAAGCAAATGTTTTGAGAATGATGATGGCAATAAATGTACAAATGTGCTTGACACAACAGATGGATGTATGGATTGTGATAAGAGTTGTACAAGCCCTCAATAAAATGATGTTTGAAAAAACAAAAACAGAAGCCTCATTGCCATCCAGTGGATTCCGACTCATAGTGACCTGGTAGAACAGCCCCTGTGAGATTCCAAGGCTGTAAATCTGTATGAGAGTAGAAAGGCTCATCTTTCTCCCTTGGAGCAGGGCTCTCTGTAAAGCACATTACAGGTAGGTACTTACTGTCTCATTTTGCCTCTGAATTGGCAACTAACTGCAAGGTCAGCAATTTGAAACAACCAGCCAAGGGAGAAAGACAAGGCTTTCTACTCCCATTAAGATTTACAGTCTTTGAAATCCACAGGAGCAGTTCTATGCAGCCCTATAGGGCCACTGAGTGAGAATCAATTCGATGGCGTGAGGTTTGCTTTGTTTTTTCTTCTAAGTCTTATTCTCTGTGTCTTCCATTGAGTCGAACTCATACAACCCTGTAGAACTTACCATGTGAGTTTCTGAGACTGTAACTACTCATGGGACTAGAAAGCCCAGTCTTCCTCCTGTGGGGGGTAGTTTTGAACTGCAGACCTTGTGGATCGTAGCCCTACTCATAACCACTATGCCATCAGGGCTCTTCGATAAGTCTTATTCAGTTAATAATAAGTAATTTGAACTCCTTGGTTTAGATGCTCCCCCTCCATACATCCCAGAGATGTTTTTCATATTCAGAAGGGAGTAAAGTGAAGACATTTTATTTTGTAGAACCTCTACTTCACTCTCCCTTTGCAAGTTGGTGCTGCTGTTTTTGTGTTGACTCAGATACTTCTGAATTAAGCAATGCTTGGTTTTGAAATGTGTTCTGACTGGTGTGGTCATATGATGGTGTGGACAGTAGCCGGAAGTGTCCTTACAAGTGTTAAGGGCAGTGGCCACTTTTGTTGGAGCTGCTTATATTTTTAGGAGTCTCCCTTAGTGACAGTCAGATCTTTAACCTTCATCCCGTGAGCTGCACTCAGCCTAGTTGTGGCGAAACAAGAAAGCTACAGCTGTTTTCAGTCTGGGCTGAAACCTTATGAAAGTTTCTCCTTGAATGTCTGCTCATTTTACATGGTTGGTAGTCACTTAATCTGCTATTTCTTTAGTTACGGTTCTTTTAGCATGGCCCTCTTGAATGGGTATGTTTTATACTAACCTTTAAAATTTGGACCAACATCCAAAGGTCTAAAACTCATGTCTTAGATTTTTTTAACATACTTTATAATGCAGTTTTGATATGGTGTGCCCACCTGCCCCAGAGCTAATTGAACACCGTAATAACATCTCAGGCCCTTTCTATTGGTGCTGTAGCCGTAATGATGGTGATGGGCATTGGCTATTTGGGTTTGAAGAAAATCAAGCCACAGGTGGAGAAAAAGAAATCACTCCTTGGGGCGGGATTAGTTTACATGAGCCACCTGTAACCAGGGTAGGCATTATGGAACAGGAAGTCAGGGAGCTTGCCAGTGGTTCTCATCCTTCCTAATGGCACGACCTTGTAATACAGTTCCTCATGTTGTGGTGACCCACAATCATAAAATTATTTTCGTTGCTACTTCATAACTGCTATTTATGCTACTATTATGAATTGGGCGATCCCTGTGAAAGGGCCATTTGACCCCCAAAGGGGTCACAACCCATAGGTTGAGAACTGCTGTCTTAAGTGCTGAGGTGAAGAAAAGAGGCTAAGAATCAGATTCTTCAAAAATTTGTGTGTGCTACAATGTAATTTAGGTTGGGAAACTTTGAATAAGTAGTTATGCTATGTGCCTAAAGAGATACTAAGTAATCAGGTGTTCAGCTCTGGTGGGTGGAAGAGGGATCTAGGCAGGATGGATGAAGAGGCCTCCAAACGTTTGTGTGGAAAATAGAATAAAAAAGTGTGGGGGTTGTAGGGGGGCTGGCCCTTTCCCCTCACAAAAAAGTAATGGAATTTTCTCACAGACTGTTTGAAGCCCCCTCATATGGCTGGCAAGCAAAGCTTTTGGAGAGTCGTGAGCACCTGGGGAGAATGGTTAGCATGTGCAAGAAAATGGGGGGGGGGGGAGGATCTTCAGGAGGAATATTTAAGAAGCAGGAAGAAGTGACTAAGGAACCAGAGAGGTCATAGGACCAAAGTCCGGGAAGTGTAAACCAGAAGGCTCATGGCCTAAGGGTTCCCAGGTTGCAGTCTTTCTGGAAGCAGACTGCCTCAACTCTGTGAAGGTCGAGCTGGGAGGTGCCAACCACCGATCTCTCTTCTGGCAGCCCCACACTTCACACACCGTTCTACCAGGGGTTTTGTCCCATCAAGACAATCAAGGGACGAGAAGAGCCCCAGATGGAGGCATTAGCAGCAGTAGTCAGTCATATGATGAGAGAGAGCACAAACAAGATGAGGTCGGGGCGGCTTTTGGATCTAGTACTAAGGGCATCCGTTGTTTAACAAACAAAACCCCAAAACTAACTGCCATCAAGCAAATCCTGACTTTCGGTGACCCTATTGGACAGCCAAGTGGCCCCTTTGGGTTTCCAAGACTAAACTTTTGCAGAAGCAGAAAGCCTCACCTTTCTCCAGTGAAGCAGCTGGTAGATTCCAACTGCTAACTGTGTAGGCAACAGCTCAACACCTAACCTATCATGCCACCAGGACACCTCGCTGCTGCTTTTAGGTGCCATCAAGTCAATAGTGAACCCATGTAGCAGGGTAGAATGACCCAGTAGAGTTTTTTTGGCTGTAATCTATAGGAAAGCATCACCAGATCTTTCTCTCGTGCTGCTGCTGGGTGAGTTTGAACTGTCAACCTTTTGTAAGGGTAGCTTTAATAAGTGATAGCAACAATAAAGCCAGTTTAGTGGAGCTGAGGAGTGTGTGCATCAGGTTAGCTGTTTTGTATGAGGTGGTCTTCAAAAAGTTAGTGGAAAGGTAGAATTGAAAGATAATGGGATTTTTCAGTAAACTTTTTGAAATACTTAAGTTTTATTATTTATTTTTCTGAATAAGCAAAAACAAAGGTAGAAAAATAGGATATTGTGTATTAGTTGGGTTTGTTAAGATGAGATCTTAAATATATTTTAATATTAATTGGATCAGCCCAATAAAGAGGTTGAATACTATAGGGGAAAAAATACACTTGCTTGGCTTAGTAAATATGAAATCATTATATTTTACTGATGCTTTCCATTAGTTTTGATATGATTTTTTTCTTGATCAGATTTGTTATAGCTGATTTTAAACCAAGAACGACCAGCTAGATAGCTGTGTACTCTCATGCTATTATAGAGAGACGATTTCTTGGCTAAAATACCCAATGACTTCCAGTTACTTAAGGTGTGAACTTAAACTAACATATACTCTTATGATTGCTTATAATTAGCTTCATTCTTTCCTCTTCCCTTATCAGCTACCTTATGTCGTAACTGATTTTGTGATGCTGGGGTTTTGATGAACATGTTTGGCCATTCTTCCCTTTCTTACTGGCCTGGCCCTTCCAATTCTTCATTCATCTCAGCTCCCAAGACGAGTGCAAATTCTTTTTCAACCCCTACCCATACTTGCTTATTCTATTTGTTATACTACCATTTCACCTCTGCTGTATTGATCACATAGGGTTATGATTTGACTTATTGGCTTTGCCTGTGTTGCTGCTTGAGAGAGGAGGCATTACATCTTATAAATGGTGTCTGGAACACAGAGGTTATACCTGAGGTGTTTAATGAATGAATGGAAACTGGCCTTCACACATGCCCACAACTAAAGAACTTGAACTAGAGCTTGTGTTTTCTGGATGAAGTCCCTCTTTGTTGGAGCCAAGACTTACCCCTGTGGATTTGTTGTAGAATTTACTACGGCACATGCACGGCCTAATGGTTATGCATTGCACTGTGATCCACAAGGACTGCAATTCAAAACCACCAGCTGTTCCTTAGGACAAAGATGGGCTCCCTACTCCCACTAACAATTACAGTCTCAGAAACTCACAGGGGCAGTTCTAGTTCTACCCTGCCGTATACGGTTGCTATGAGTCGGCATTAACTCCGTGGCAGTGAGTGTTTTGGTAATGAGGGAGCACAAATTATAAAGCTCTTGACCACTAGAAGAATGGTTGGCAGTTTCAAGCCACCCAGAGACTCCTAGGAAGACAGGCCTGGTGATCTGCTTCCAAGATCACAGCCTGGGGAACCACGTGCAGCAGTTTTACTCTGCCCACACGGGTGGCCATGAGTCGGAATCAAGGGCATTAATAACAATGCTATGTTTTAACTAAGTGTATGTCTATGGAATTCAGGATTTTCTTTTCTTTTGAATATGATGAGGTCTCTGCAAAATCAATGTATATCAAAATCAATGTAATTAAAATTTTAAACAACAAGAGAAGTCTCCAAAATCTGTTCAAATCAGCATTAACTTCTTTTGACATTATATATTTCACAGGATACTAGAATTTAAGTGTTGCCCTTTTGTTGCCTTTCAAGGCATATTACTTATTAGATGGCATATGCAAGATGAACCTTTGTGACATTTAAGTTAAAGTCCTTGAAGAATTGGAGTACTTCGGTTCTTTAAAAATGTATCGATTATATGTAAGATATACTTCCTGCATATGTTCATATTCTAGGTTTTTTTTCCTATTTCTTCCTTCAATAGGCCAGTATACACTAACAATGTATTATGAGATGACCTTTCCACACACACCACCACTTTCTGGCTAACTTCTGGTCTTTCCATTTCAGCAGCTCGAGTGGAGCTGGACTGGCCATCATGGAGGAGGAGCTGCAGCACACACACTGTGTGAACTGTGTCAGTAGACGGTGCATGACCCGGCCGGAACCTGGGATATCCTGTGACCTGATTGGTTGCCCATTGGTTTGTGGAGCAGTTTTCCATTCATGTAAAGCTGATGAACATCGCCTTTTATGTCCCTTTGAGCGAGTACCTTGTTTAAACAGTCACTTTGGATGTCCATTTACATTGGCGCGAAATAAAGTTGCTGAACATCTAGAATCATGTCCCGCCAGTGTGGTGTGCTGCACGATGGAGTGGAACCGCTGGCCAGTTAGTTACGCAGACCGGAAATCGTACGAAAATTTAAGCAGAGATGTTGATGAAGTGGCACAATTAGATATGGCCCTGGCCCTTCAAGACCAAAGGATGCTTTTAGAATCTCTCAAAGTCGCCACCATGATGTCAAAGGCGACTGATAAAGTATCAGAAACTAGAGAACAAATTTCAGTGAAATCAAGTGTCCCAGAAATACCACATGCTAACGGTCTGGTGTCTGTTGATGAAGAATCATATAATGCACTCTATCAAGCTACTGTAGAAACAACCAGAAGTTTGGCAGCTGCGTTAGATATCCTGAATACAGCCACAAGAGACATTGGCATGCCAAGTATAAATCTTTCTGCCTCCCAAAATGAAATGGATGAACAGCAAAATCGCAGAGAAAGCTTACAGGGTGACAACTTAAAAGACCAGGATCATTTTTATGAGGAAGAGATAGGAGCATTAGGTGGAATTGACCACAACGAACTAAGCCAGAATCCCCAACCTGAACCGAATGGTTCAAGTGACTTTTTATGTGACTTGGATGCACCTTCTCATGACCCTTCTGCACTTTGCAATGGCTTTCCTTTGGAAAATATATGCACACCGGTACAGAATCAGAATTTACATGATGATTCGAAACAAAGTAACTTAACAAATGGAGAGTGTGTGGCATCAGATGGTACTGCAGAACCTTCCAATTCACTCTCAGTAGCAGCACAACTTAGGGACGTCATGCCACCCATTCCCTTGCCTAATGGTGCGGTTCAGCATATCCTCCTGCCAGAGGATGAGGATGAAGAAGACTTGTATTGGCGAAAAGTAGACTTAGGGGACTTGAGGAATATGGATGCCTTATCTTTCAGTCATCCTCCTTCCTTCAAGTTTCTTTCCAATTCATGTTGGTCCAAACCAAAGGAAGATAAGGCCGTGGATACATCAGACTTGGAGGTTGCAGAAGATCCCATGGGCCTCCAAGGAATAGATCTAATCACAGCAGCCTTGCTGTTCTGCCTAGGAGATTCTCCCGGTGGGAGGGGTATATCTGACAGTCGCATGGTTGATGTTTATCGCATTGACTTTGGGACGCAGACTTTCTCACTCCCATCCGCCATTCTCGCCACAAGTACAATGGTCGGGGAAATAGCTTCCGCTTCCGCTTGTGATCATGCCAACCCACAGCTTTCAAACCCAAGCCCTTTTCAGACCCTCGGGCTGGATTTAGTTTTGGAATGTGTTGCTAGGTACCAACCCAAACAGCGGTCAATGTTTACATTTGTTTGTGGACAGTTGTTTAGGAGAAAAGAATTTTCTTCACATTTTAAGAACGTGCATGGTGACATTCATGCTGGACTCAATGGCTGGATGGAACAGAGGTGTCCTTTAGCTTATTATGGCTGTGCCTATTCTCAACGTAGGTTTTGTCCATCAACACAAGGAGCAAAGATTATACATGACCGCCATTTGAGGTCGTTTGGAGTTCAGCCGTGCATTTCTACAGTATTAGTGGAGCCTACTAGAAACTGTGTGCTGGGATTACATAGTGACCATTTGAGCAGCCTTCCTTTTGAGGTTCTGCAGCACATTGCCAGCTTTCTTGATGGTTTCAGTTTATGCCAGCTCTCATGTGTGTCCAGGTTAATGAGGGATGTGTGTGGCAGTCTGCTTCAGTCTCGTGGAATGGTTATACTGCAGTGGGGGAAAAGGAAATATCCAGATGGAAGTTCATCATGGCAGATCAAAGAAAAGGTTAGTGTGATCTTAACCGTACCAACCCCGATTTTACACAGTCTTAGGACCAGCCCCTATTTTACACACAATAGTTAACAGCTGCCACTGAGTGTACTCCCAACTCCCAGCGATTGGATGTACAGTAAAACAGAAAGTCCGATCCGTGCTATCCTCATGATCTCTAGCCTGTTCGAGTTCATCATGTGACTCTTGTACCAGGCTTTGTCACTGAGAGTCTCCCATGCCCTCATAGGCCCTCTACTTCACTATACATGATGCCATCTAATAGCGACTGTTTCCTCCTGCTGACGTGTTCAAAGCATCATGCTCTGTGATGGTCCATAAGGTTTTAACAAGCAGATCACCAGGCCCTTTCCCTCAGCCTGCCTCAGTCTAGAAGTTCTGCTGAAAGCTGTTCACCGTGGGTGACCTTCCTAGTGTCTGGAATGCTATTGGCACATCTCCCAGCATCATTGCAACATGCAAGCCACCATCTAGTGTTCTACCAGCTAACTGCAAGAGAGGTGGTGGTGACATACAGTATCCAATAATATGACATAGGAATTTTTAGGATTATTATGGAAAAAGTGATCATCAGTTAAGTTTCTTACTAAGGCCCTAGCATGGCAAACTCTCAATACTAATTAATCAAGAACTAAGGTGTTTAGAATTGTTTGTCATAATCACAGATTTATTGCAGACATTGTTAGAACTAGATTCAGATTGAATGTAGCATAAACCCTATGTGTTTTCTTCAATTAAGCAATTCCATACCGTCTCCATTCTTCTAAAATAACCCTCTGCATGGTGCCCATTTTACCACGTCCTAACCTGGGCTCCATATGAAATGTTTTCACTGTAGGACAGTGGAGGAAGCAAGGGGAAGCCTACTTCCTGCATACAGTTGGCAGTTTCTTTTTATTCCTTCTAGCAGTTTCTCTCTCAGGGCTTGGTTATTCCAGATAGAATGTAGATGTGAAAAAGGTGTAACCCCTACTACAGACAGTATGTGACCAGCTAAGTGCATTAGGCTGATGTGAGGTAAGAGTAAGGTCATGGGGTCCAACCCTGGGAGAAGATTCGGGGGAGGGGGGACTCTGAGTTGCGCATAATGTAAAGGCGCATCTCACATTAGGAGCCGAGACTAGAAGTCAGCCAGGCCTTGGGGACAAACTCTCTACCTTTTCTCTCCCGCGATACCTCCTTTTGCCCGACTCCTCTTTGAAGCAGCATTCATTAGAAAGTAGGAGACATTACAAATAGCTTTTCTGGAAGGTTTTTGTTTTGTTTTCCCATTTTGGAAAACTAAATATGGAAGTGCATGGATTGTGATAGATTTAGAATTTGGTTACATGGGGTTAAAAATACCTGCTTATTTTGTTCTAAACACCTTTTGATTTTCTCTAGTCATCATTGCCCTAGTGTTCTAGAATTCCACATCTTTCTGTGTACTCCTGAGACCTCAGTAAGAAATGCACACACTAATTATCTTTTTTCTCCTAAGGGAATTCTATTGGGAAGAGGTGTGTGTGTGTGTGTGTGTGTGTGTGTGTGTGTGTCAGTGTGTCAGATGATTTGGTGTCTGTCTCCCATTTGGCCTGTTTCCTCTTTAAGGTAGGGCCCTATGAACATTACTTCTCATTGTCCTTGCCCTTTGGTATTGACATAATGGGGTATAATAATTTCTGAGGATCCTGTAATCATTCCTGTGGAAGATTTCATTCATTCTTAGAGTTGAAATTGCCCTCACTTGGGTGGATTACTCATGAGTCCACAGCCCAGCCTTTTTCTCCTTTAAACTCATACCAGCGCATGCACGTGCCTGCTGGAGACCGCTGCTTGATGACCTCACAGCTTCCTCAAACTCTACGGTGTGACCTACAACAGCCACCTCCTACCTGGGTTGCTACTTCCAATGTCGCGTAGTGTCCATCCCCTGCCCCCCCCCCCCGCCACCCCCCCCACCCCCCAGCATAGTCTCTTTACAGGAGCTAGATAAAATAGACAAAACTTCTTCATTCATTTTCATTGAGCCAAGACTAGAGGTGGATTCCTTAATGAGAAATTTAAGATTTTCTGTAGACTGGCCCCTCACCTGGTCCTCTTTTTGTTGTCTTTTTATACATCAGCCACCTTGAGTTGCTTCATTTCCTGATGTTTTCTTTCTTGTCCCAAGTTCTTCCAATATGGCTAGATAAAATAGATAAAACTTCTTCATTCATTTTCATTGAGCCAAGACTAGAGGTGGATTCCTTAATGAGAAATTTAAGATTTTCTGTAGACTGGCCCCTCACCTGGTCCTCTTTTTGTTGTCTTTTTATACATCAGCCACCTTGAGTTGCTTCATTTCCTGATGTTTTCTTTCTTGTCCCAAGTTCTTCCAATATGCTTCTCCTAATTCCTGGAGTTGAGGTAGGCAATGAGCACTTCCTTTAGTTTTTTGAACTCACTGTCCCTGGATTAGGGATTAAACCAGTTCAGAGAGGTTAAGTAACTTCTCTACTGGTTGGAGTCAGACGTAGCCTGTTTCTGGAACTTGTGGTCTTCGTCTACTTGATAAACCTTGCTAACTCTTCAGGTCTTCTTCAAGAAAGACTTCTGGGACATTCCATCCCCCATCCCTGTACCCCACCCCCCAAAAAAAGCTTCAGAGAGGTGCATTGCAGTGTGTTCGCATTATAGATTGCTGCTAAAGCACTTGTCCTGCTGATTTGAAATTGAACATGTTCATTTTGTTGATGAGATACTTAATAAGTAGTCAGTTACGCCTCATAGCTACCCTGCACAGCAGAGTAGAGTAGAACTGCCTCATAGGGTTTTTGACCTGGTAAATCTTTGTGGGAAAAGAAAGCCTCCTCTTTCTTCTGCAGATGGGTCTGAACTGCTGACCAGGTTCACCAGGTTCTTAAAAATGGGCCTCCAGGTAGCTAGAATGTTCTGCCTGGCCCCAGACTTTTGCTGCCAAGTCCACTCTGGCTCACAGTAGCCTATGGGACTGAGTAGAACTGCCCCTTTCAGTTTCCAAAGCTATAAAGCTTTATGCAAGCAAACTGCCTCATCTTTCTGAAGAGCAGGTAGTGAGTTGAAATCTTTGACCTTTTGATTAGCAGCTAGGTGCATGACCATGTGCCACCAGGACATAGCACTGCCGAATAGCAGGCTTTTAAGTAAATGATGGGTTTGGACCTTTGTTAAACATGCAAGGAAATGGGAGTCAGGCCACCCCCCCACCCTTTTTTTTTTGGTAACCTGCTTTTTCCTGAGTTTATTTCCCTAGACCAGTGGTTCTCAATCTTCCTAATGCCGTGACCCTTTAATACAGTTTCTCGTGTTGTGGTGACCTGCAACCATAAAATTATTTTGGTTACTACTTCTTCACGGTCATTTGCTATTGTTATTAATTGGGTGACTCCTGTGAAAGGGTCGTTCGACAACCCTCCAAGGGGTCACGACCCACATGTTGAGAACCATTGTCCTAGACTCTTTACTGTGTGGACCTTTCTGTTAATTTCTTCCATTGAAGCTTGAAGAAAATGCCTAGCTCCCCCATGGGGTGGTTGGAGAGGCTAGTGGCTTGTATCTGTTGTGACCGTTAAAGTTTTTGCTAATATTCAGGCTTTTGCTAACTTTCAGAACACTATTCCATCCATGGCAATTGACCAGACCCAAAGTAGTATGGGCGTACTTGTGCTACACAGCGATAACATCCATTATCAGTTGCTAAATGATTGTGGCCATTCCTGGAAGTCATGACCATCCTTTCCTGAGAAACACTCATCAGTGCTGGGGCTGCCACAAGGGCCCTGCTCTTTACCAAGAGCCAGCACATTTAACTCGAGCTCTGCCTGTGGGCGAGTCCAGCTGTGATGCCTGCCATGCCATGCCCATCCTTGCCTGTCACCTAAGTCACGCTGGGTCCCTATTTCAATGTCACGTTGTTTTAAATTAGACAGAGGAGAAAAGGCCACAGAAATCATTTGTACTAGTTGTCACTTCCATAAGGACAGAGACTGAATTGGTTTTTGTTGATCATATCCTCCCTAGTACCTGGGCTTGGACCATGCTAAGCATTCTGTAAATCTTTCTTGAATAAGTATATAAATGCCTGGGCCAGAGCCTTTAAAATCCCATTTATACCCCCAAATGTACCTCACTGCCTATCTTATATGGAGCCCTGCGGGTGAAGCAGGTAACTTGGGGGCTGCTCACCACAAGGATGGCAGTTTGAACCTACTAGTCACCTAGCGAGAGGTAGATGAGGCTGTGTGCTCCCGTAAAGATGAACAACCTCAAACCCACGGGGCCCTTCTGCTCTTCCCTGTAAGGAGGCTATGTCAGAGTCGACTGGACGACCGTGTGGGTCACGTCTGCCATGCACAGCTGTAGTTGGCATCATTTAACAAATGAACATTAAGTAGAAGCCTGCTGAACTAGTTAGATGATAGTTCTTCAGAACCCAGAGCCGCCTAGTGGGCACCAGGGCACTAGCCCAGGTTCTTACAGCAGGCTTATGAGCAGGGACGGCAGGTGAGTATTTTGCTCCTATTCTATAGCCGTTGCAACCGAAATAGTGCACATTCTACAAAAGCACTTTCTGTATAAATTTTCAAAAACATCTTGAACTAATTGGTGCTTTCCAAGTACCTTTCCTACTGGAAAACAACGTAGTACCTGAGTACAATATGCAGACTGGCTAATCCAGACCGATTCCCTGGTTGCTCTTCCTCTTCGTAGCTAATGCTGTGAAATACCACGTTTCTCTTCAAAGTGGCCGCTGGAGCAAGAAGCATGTCTGTGTCTGGATCTGACTTGTTTAAATCTGAAGCAGGCTTTTCTTCCAGGTGTGGCGATTCAGTACCGCGTTTTGTTCTGTAAATGAGTGGAAGTTTGCTGACATCTTAAGCATGGCCGACCACCTGAAGAGATGCAGTTACAACGTTGTGGAGAAGCGGGAGGAAGCCATCCCGCTGCCCTGTATGTGTGTGACACGGGAACTCACCAAGGAAGGCCGCTCGCTGCGCTCTGTTTTGAAACCTGTAGTTTAAAAGTTCGGCTTGTGCAGACATGCCAACACCTAGTATTTCTTCGTAATCTGTGACATTTTATTAATGTATTAAAGACAGCAACTAGCTAAATTTATTGTCACTATGTATATAAGGTTCTCAAGTGACATCTATTTTTGTAAAATAAATATTGCCTAGTTAGGGGGGGAAAGTTGCCTTAATGTTTGAAATGTGTGACATTTTTGGAACTTGCTGGACAGGGTGATTGCAGTTTTAGTGATACGATTTTTGGAACTAATCTTTTCAATGGTGTGTGTATGTTTTGGTTCTTAAATTTTGGGGGCTTTCTAAACTGACAAGATCCTGACCAAACAATTTATTCCTCACCTTTTCTGTGGGTTAGTAACCCATATGTGCAAACAGTGAAACTTTGAGTGACATTGTGTTGCAGCTTAGATTTTGAAGGTAAAAGCAGTCACATGCTTTTCAACACTCTCTTAAGATCACAATCAAGTGTTGCTTCTTTTTTTTAAATCGCTAGTGCTCCCCCTCTACAATTGTTGGTACGCAGATGATTGCTAATATATATTCACATCCTACTTAAGTCACTGGTAATGCCATTGAGTCGTGCTTGAAAAAGATTCCACAAAGGTGTACCCATCTTAGGTATTTCTGACTGTCACACTGAGAGAGCCCACATGCAGCTTGCTTTTTGGTTAGATGCCACGTCCAAAAACTCGTGGCCACAGGTGGAAACAAAAAAGAAATCCATGGCTTGACTTTATTTTGAAGCTGTTTCTGGTTTATTGTATTGCTAGGTCTCTGCTATTTGGAGAAAAGTAAGTAACATACCTCATATTAAGTTTGGATTGAGTACATTGTATGAATATATTGAAAATATTCAGAATGTAATAAAGGGCTTAACAGTATTTTTCATAAGTCTTTTAAATGTTGCCTTTGATATTTATTTTCAAAAAGATCTTTGTGTTGTTCTAATACATTAACAAATGTGAAATCTGGTATTATCCTTGTAAGATGACAATCACAAAATGCAGAAATAGATCTCAATTGGCAATCGCTTCAAACCATGTCCAAGTAAGTTCCCTGAAAAAAATAATGAATTGCATCTTTGTATCAAGATCAAAGCATATAATAGAAAAAAATTTGAAGGGCTGTTCTTGAAGTATTTTGTTCTAGCTTTATGAGTTACACTCTTATTAACCTGATGTTATTGGTTGTTTAAAACAAAACAAGTACATCAGTATTTAGAATTAAATGGCAAACATATGTCAATACTATGTTTTCAGGAACTCCTGGCAGTTGGTGGTTTGCCGCGAAGGCACATTACCTTGTTAGAAATGTCAGAACTATATTGTGCCTTCTCTTCCTACAGTTGTTCCTGAGGGTGCTATGTGGTTCCCTGGGTCTGGATGCCCATATAAGGCAATCAGGCTAAGCCGAGCCCTTCCTTGGGCATTAGAGAAGAATTCTCAACTTCTTAAGACTTGTTTTGGTTGGATCAAGTTCATAGTACAGTTGAAAAACATAGCATTAATGACTAATCAGTTGTTTTGCCTCACGTTTTAATTAGAATACTTGCACGTACTTCTCAGTGCTTAAAGTTGTTTCTTTCAACTGTAAGGTTAAACTGCTTAAAGTTTCTCTTTTGATGAAAAGGATAGAAGGAAGTAAGATGTCAAACATTGAAGAATACAATTCTGCCTTTTAAAAGTTTTGCTGAAGAGTGTTTAGAATAACACAAGCATTAACTCTTTCATTTTTATGGTTGTGCATTTTTAAAATCCATGAGTTTTCCATGTAGACGTTTCTCCACTGGATCATGAGATAGCTAACATTTTGTGCACCTATTTTCTGTTTCTTTGACACACATTTGGCTGGTCTCACTGTTGTCTGTGATGCCACCAGATCACATTATTAAAATGTTTTCTTTGTGCAACATTTGTTCATATTCTAATAAATTTAATGTTTTCTCGTGGTATGGCTCAGTCACTTAGCTCCAAAACCTCGGTTTAAACAAAGCAGTAGTACTTGTTTGACAGATTCCATTAGTGTGGCTGTAGGAGTGGCTTATCAATTAATTGACGACTACCATTACCTGTGTTTTACTGGTGAGCATCTGTTGAAAATTTTTCATATATATATATATATATCTCACTGGTTACTTTTCCCTGCCCCTCTGTGTTGCTTTGAAAGGCTGAAGAGCTTCTGGCCATGATTATGTTCGTAAGACTTGCCATGGGAACAATCTAGCCAGCCTTTTCAAGCATGAAAAGGTTTGTATGTATGTCAGCCAAATATCTGAGAAGTCTGATTCTTTAGTCTTTGCTAACCAGTAGGATAATGGGCAAGTAGTAAGAGGGAAGGAAATCATCTGAATTCACTTTTCATCATCTGCCTCTGTCTTGGGATCTGCCTTTTGTTGGCTTAATGTCTGTCAGGTTGCTTCTCTCCCTAACTGGATTTTGAGTCTCTCAGATTGTCACTTTCCGCCCAGAAGACTCAGCATCACTGTGAGTTAGTTAGCAATGTAACGACTTGTACTTCTTCCCCAGACCAACTGAACAGGGGGAACTCCTGAGTGGGAACCAGCAATCCCTTAAGCAGGCCTCCCTCCAGGTGACTGACAGGCATTGTCACATGTTAAGACTTAGAGGAAAGCCTGAGACATGCCAGTTTTAGACTCCTGAAGGCTGTATTCTACTGTGTACATGAGTGTGTATGCACACACATGCAACCCAAATTAAGTATAATGCTAATGTGTTGATAATGTTGGTTAAAATAATTTATATGCTAGTTCTCTCAATAGTATTACCATACGGCAAAATAAGTTGGGTACTTTGTTGTTGGAAGTTTCGGGTTTGAATAGTAGTCAAAATTTACTATTAGTCTGTTTCACTACTATTTCTTCCGTTCAAGGTACATTGCAGTGCAAGTTTCAGTTTAGTAGCACTGACATTTAGCCTAGTCGTTTTGTTCAGTGCTTGTGAAGTCGTGTGAACACATTTGATTTCTAAAAGATAAGCAGTGTAGAAGACTGGATTTGAACTTATAAGAATATCCATAGGAATCCTTTAAATTCTGTCAATAAGAGGTATTACTATAGGTTGATCTTTTTTTAATTATTATTAAATCTTTGACCCTGGCCTGCATATCCTGTTGGTGTTGTTACTATTTTGAACCTGAGCTTACCATTTTGGGATCTTAATCCAGTAGAGTTGATAATGTTGTTTTCCACAAAACTCCCAAATCTCTGCAAGATTGGATAGTATATATTAATGAATTCTACTTGTGAAGTTTGTAGTCTTAGAAGTTTGAAAGCAAAATATTTCTTAATGTTTTATATACCAATCTAAAAAGACACAAGGTTTTGTTTTGTTTTTTAAAGTTCCTGAGGAATTAAACAATACATGAATGTGTTTGACTCAGCTGATGTGATTGGGAGCTCCAGAAGTGGGTGTTTAGAGGTAGGAGGAAAAGAAATGGGAAAGCACTTTCTCTCCAGTTTGCAGGTTTTTGAGGGAGAGAATTTCTGTTTGCATGGCTATCCATGTGTCCTTCTCGACAGTCCCAGCTCACATGCTTAGGGAGCCTGTTGAAAAGGGACAATTAGTAGCCCCGTCCAAAAAAAAAAAAAATCCATTTCTTGCCTAATTGTGTTTTAAATAATCCAATGGTGGTTTTGTTTTGTTTTTAGGATTTGGTCTAAATCTAATTTTAAAAATAAATCAGTTTGAGCGTTGTTGAGCATAAAGGCTGACTAGTGGAATCCTTTCCAAATAAGAGAAGACAAAAAGACATTCTTTTATGCGGTTACTTTGCTTTTCATTTGCAAGATCAAAAGATCAGACCTTTCTAATTTCCATTTTATTTATGACAAAGCTGAGGTGCTGAGTGATTGGGTTTTTGGAAAGAAGGAAAAAGTAAAAACGAGAGAGAATGTGCTCTACGATGATTCACTTTCCCACTTGACAAATGCACAAAGAAATCTTTCAGTGTAAAGAAATTAATCCGAAAAATATCATTGCCTATATCATAGTGCTACTTTTTTGGTTTGGAAAAAAATGACTGGGCAATACAAAGGGGTACAGAAATAGAAACTAACCACGTCTGATGTGTTTGCTCCCAAATAATTTACAAATTCTAGGAGCTCTTGCAGAATATTTACAAATTTTCTTTGGCCTTTATAATGAATAATATTCACAGGCTTCTATGCTTATCATAAATTGCCCAAGTGGATTTTAATCATGTCTTCTAATGTATGAACGGAGGTGTACGCCTTGGGGTGCTGTGCTACTTGAGAACATTTGAAAACTGACATTTCAGATTTTGATTTTTGGATATCTTGATGGATTGTATGGAGAGTAATTTTTCAATAATGAAGGAACTACAGAGAGATGGAGTACAAAGAGGATTCGTGAACACACATTAGAGTGAAACTGCATTGATGAAGCCTCCTTAGGATGTTGGACTGAAGCTTTATTGGCAGTGAAGCAAACAGAAGCAAACTGACAACCTAACCAAGGGAAACGTATCTATTTGTCTTTAACACCAATATAATTTTAAGCATCCCCAAGTATTAGGGTAGTAATAAGTAGTGATTCTTCGTATATAGCTCATGCTAGTGGTCATGGTTTACATATTGGAAACAACACCGCCTTTATGGTGAATGATTTATTCTGATAAAGCCAATTTATCAAGTTGAACTGGAATTTAAGCTGAAAACTTTTCTCTTTTTTTCCTCAGACAAGCTCTTTAGGTAGGTGTATGTGTTTCTGCTTTGCAGAGAAAGTGACTAGTTAGATAGCTTTCTGCATCCTTTCCAGTGGAAGGGTAACAATAATTGCGACAGTGTTATTCAGTGCTAGTTGTGGAATCAAATATACAAACAGCTATAATTTGTTGTTGATCAAAAGATTGATGTGGAAAAAGAGAGTCCTAACCCTCGCCTTGGTCCTCCCGGAAGATTTTTTTCTCCCCATTTACCTCTTACCATTAACATCTTTTTAATATTAGTCTAAATGAGTTTGGGTCAGTAGTTTACATTTGATTTGATTACAAACTTCTTGGCCCTTTCACCAATTTAAAAAAATCGTTGTCTTGAGAAACTGAAGTATCTGTGTTCAGGCTTAACCTCTTGATTAAAAAATACATAAATAAAGAGGCACAAAAGCAATCATCTGCTCGAGGAAAATTGTCCAATGAATCAAGAGGGCTTTTTTTTTTTTAATCAACAGCTTAAAAAAAATCTATAGGGTTTAAATGAAGAAGAGTACTGACTCCCTGAAAAAAAATAGTTTTGTGATAACAGTCCTGGCATATTAAATTGCTTTTGAATGGTTGATATTCTGGTAGACATAAAGTCGAAGGATAATGATGCTACATTCAAAGTGTTAACCGTTGAATTGCTTATTTGATCAGTGTTCAGCCAGCACTGCAAACTTGAATAGCATTCTGCAAGGTAGTTACACTAGCTCATGCACTAACTGTAGGCAGCATTTAGTATCAGTGGGTCTTCCTTTTCTCCTTTACAGTAATAGTTGGCTCTTTGTTAAATGCAAAGCCTTATGGCAAGTCTTGAAAACGTTATGTTAAGTGAAAGAAGCCAGAGACAAAAATTACTTATTGTATGAATACATTTATCGAAAACACCCAGAGTGGTCAAGTCTACTTAATGATTGCAGGGGGCTGAGGATGCCCTCTTTGGTGATGAGAATGTTCTGGAACTAGATAGTACAATGGCTGCACAACATTGTGAGTGTAATGTAGTGGTTAGCACTGTAATTTTTGTGTATTTTGTCACAAATTTTATCACAAATGAGAAGAAAAATCGTATTCCCATCATTACCCAAGTCAAAAACAGGTACAGTATTTTTAAGGTTTGTGAAAAAGTTGTGGTTTAGAATTAATTTATGGCATTAGTAATGTGACACATTTATTTGGCTGAAAGGCCCAATGAAATTCATGAGCCCTGTCACCCAAGTAACTGCTGACAGAGCAGGAACAAAACAAGAAAGCAACCACAATTCCCCAAAATTCCCAAAACCCTGAAAACCAAGAACAAAACGCCCCATCAGTGCTCATTTGTCCCCTTTTACAGTTTATTAACATCCCTTGTAGCACATCTCAATCAAACTTTTTAATGGTCTGTTTTTGAAATCATGCTTTGGAAAAAATTGTGCAATTTTCAGGGTTTTTTTTATGGTTTTATACATTGTGAACCTTTTCAAGAGCAAATGCCAACTATGTGTTTCGACAAACCTAAATTAATAAATTGAACTGATGTATGTATACATTTTGTCCTCGTGTGTGTGTTGTGGGGGCTGGTGAAGACTGAATATTGGGGATAGTTTGGGGCTTGAATTATGACACATTTCTCACTTTATATTTGGGGGAATTGAAGCTTAGTTGGCTGCTGTGTTTGTGCATTCAAAAGGTGTCTAGGCACTTGAAGGATCAGTCTTGGAAGGTGGTGTTTTAGGTACAAACAGGACACCGTCGCAAATATAAGTTAAAGAGAACATTTACTGAGTTCTAAAAGAGTAGAAGACAGAATCATCCAGATGAGGGAGACCACCAACATGAGTTTGAAATGGCTGGCATCCAAGGGTTCGTTGAGATAACCAGGCTTTAAAAAGGGGATGGGTGGGCAAAGAAAACTCACAAACGCAGACCCGTGGCAAATCAAGACATCACAGTTACAGGAGGACCGGCAGAAACATGGACATGACTGATTGAGACACATACATTGTTAGAAGGGCGTACAAGATGGGTCTAGGGTCTTCTGACCAAGGCAGGACTAAACTGATAGGGTGTAACTCCTTAACTGCAACCCCTGAACCATCCCCAGGGAGTCCTGGTGGCATGGTTATGACTTGAGAGTCAGCAGTTTGAAACCACCAGCCTCGCCTCGGGAGAAAGATAGAACTTTCCACTCCTGTTCACACAGGAGCAGTTTTACCATGGCCTACAGGGTCA